ATACTGCCTCGGGCTGGGGATATAGCTCAGTGGCACAGCGCCAGGCAAAGCGCAAGGTCGTGAGTTCAATTCCCAGCATCAAAAAAAAAAAAGCCTCTATTTTTTAACTACCTGACACTTTTGGCAGTTTCTGCTCTACCAGCATTTAAAGTTTCTCAGCTTTGATACAGTGATGTTATTCCACAGAGTCTACTGTTTATCCGTACTTGCTGGAAAAACAAGAATAAGAAGGATGTTTATGTCTGGAATCACCTGTAACTGGGGACTTAGGATCAACTAAAATAACAGTTAATAGGAAATGAAATAATTATAGTACATCTATCAAATGGAAAAGTCATGCAATTCTTAAGAAAAGAAAATATACCTGTGTATACTAATTCAGAAGGATACCCAGTATATTTCATTTTACACAGAGCATAAAACAGTTCAGAAAAAGATGCAAGCACAGAGAGAAGTAGATGATTGTGTGAGTGGAAAGCAGAAAGTCAGGAATGAACTGCAAACTGCTGGCAGTGCTCAGGGAGACTGTGTGTGCGCATGTGTGTATGCGTGTGTGCGTGTGGGGATGGGATTCCACACATGAGGACACTGCTGTGCTGTGCGAATCAGTAGCCAGTAACCGGCTCCCCTGAAAGACACAAACCTTGACTTCGTATTGTTTGCCAGTCTCTGTGGGGTGAACACTCCCCCTGCAGTATCAAGCTACCCACACAACCCATGGAGCCCAGGGAAGCGGAGTGCAGCCTCACGCCCTCAGTACCCTGCCACGCAGACACACACGGCCGTGGAATCCACTGCAACAGCACAGGGAGCAGGGGTGTGGGAGGAATGAGCGCTGAGTATTTATAAAGTCTAATTGTGTTAGCACACCGACAGAAAACACTGCTCCCCACGGTGGCCACCCTGTCCCTTACACAAGGTGAGATATACTACTGCATGCTGCCACTTACACAGTGTGGAAACACTAGTTTTAAAATAATTCATCACCTTGCAATGCACACAATTTGCTTTTTATTTTTGGTACCGGGAATCAAACTCAGGACCTTGCGCTTTCCATGCAGACGTTTGTGCCGCTGAGCTGTATCCCTGGCCCCATTTGTTTTTTAATAGTGACTGTGCTTAACAACTGGATCCCATATTTCCTGGAAATTTATTGGGCTTAACTTAATAGGATTTCACTTGCAGGTGGAAGGGGTGGAGCCAGAGCCCTGGAACATCTTAAGTCTGAAAATCTCTGGAAAGATGCTGTCCTTTTCACTAATGTAGAGTCGGGATCTGGCAGCTCCACTGACACCAAGCAGTCTGCAGGGGAGGTTGGAAGCCGCTAGAGTCCTCTTTCTGAAGGGCCTGCTGCGCGCCACATTCTGAGAGAGGCTACCGTTCAGCTGACGCCTTCCTGTGCCGCACACGGAGTTTAAACGCATGTATTTTGCACACTCAATGTGCAATGGCCCTGCTTGTCCCCAACACACTGCCACAGGCCTTGTGCCCCGGGCTGTGTGAGACGGCTCCCAGCCTTGTGCACACGGGGCGGAGCGAGCGTGCTGACAGCCCGCTGGAGTCTCTGCTGTCACAGGGCAGGGCCACTGTAAGGAAGGGCGCCCACGGGAAGCTCTCCGCAGGATGGGAAGGAGACTCAGGCCTGCGGCTTCGGGCCACTGGGAAGGGTGGCCGTGCCCACGCTTCAGCCTGCGGGAGGGCGATGGGCACCAGCCATCTTCTCAGGGCTGTGGTGTAATCAGCAGCTCCCCCAGCCCTGATGGAGGCTCTCACCTGGCTGCCCTCTGAGGAGGGGCTTCCTCACGCTCCTCTGCTCGCCACTCTAAGCACCTGGGTGGCTCCTGGACTTTGTTAGAAAATGCTGGTGCAGGGGCATGGCTGCAGCCTGGTGTTCAGCTCTGAATCCCCGTCCTGTGAGGCTCACGGCTCAGGAAATTTCTTCTGGGAATGGGCAAACTCTGCCCTTCTGGGTTATAATATTTTTGAAGGAAGGCTCCTGGTATCTGTCCTCTAAAATAAAATCTTTTCCTACCTTAACCTCACCAGAATAATAGCTATTTAGCAACAAGTACTAAATAATGAGCTACATTACGAATGAATGCATGCATGCATGAATGAATGAACTACGTTTAAACCTAGTCTGTCTGGATGCAGTTGCTACAGACAGAATCATCGTGATATTCTTTCAGAGCATGAGGAGCTCTCCATTCTTTTTTTTTTTTTTTTTAAGGTCTCACTGTGTAATTCAGGCTGGTCTTGAACTTACTATGTAGCCCAGGCTGGACCTGAACTCACAGCGATCCTCCTGTCTCAGCCTCTAGAGAGCTGGGATTACAGGTGTGCACCACCACGTCTGTCTGGACAGAGGCAGCAGTGGGACCGGGGCGCTCCCGCACCTCTGCAGATCCCTCCAGAGCTCCCGGCTGCAGCTCTCAGGCAAGTTGTCCACAGGTTTCTCCTGAATCCCTGCCATGGAATTCACCGTCCTGTGCGACACTACCCCATCGCTCTGCACGTCTGCGGGTCAGAGCCTGTCCCCCACAGAGTGTGCCAGTCCCCGATGGCCTGATCTTGCAGTTCTGTGGGTGAGGCTTCCCGCAGAGACTCCCTGCTCCTGAGGGCCAGATCTCCATCTGCCCATCTTGGCCTAATGTGGGGCCCAAGAGGAGCAGGACACGTTCTATGTTCTAAGTTGTTTTTAAAGCACCTCCTCCAAGGAATATGATGCTGCCCTCGCAGAAGGAATAGCTTTTCCTTGGGTGACCATGGGGTGTGAACTTGAACTCCCGCCTCCCCCCCAGCCTGCCACCCTCACTCACCCCATCTTTCCTGCTTTGAGCCCTCCTCCCTTCCTCTCCTTCCCTGGCCTCTGTTTTTCCCGATATTCGCCCATCAATCAGCTCTGGGCTGCAGTGGGTTGAATAGCCTGTCAATGAGCCTTAATGAGCCTGTCAGCATCCCCCATTGTTCTAAGTCCGGCTGACAGCGGAGGCCGGGGGAGTGACAGCTTCCAGCACCGGGAGGTGAGGTGTGGACACTGTGTCCGGAGTGGACGTCCTGTGTAGGCACAAGGAGGTGCCTCAAGGCCACCGAAGCTGCCCATAGCTTCTGCCAGCTGCAGCTCTGCTAAGGTGAAAGGCGGATGGAGCAGCTCGGGAGGGAGGGAGGGAGGCAGGCAAGGACAGCTCTCTGGGACTCACTCTGGGGACCCCTGGCTCTGTGAAAGCACACTGGGAAAGAAAAACAAAAGAGAAAACACGGGAGCCTCACTGGATCGTTTAAGGGCAAAGGCCACTCCACAAGTCAATGCCCGGAAGAACATCAGTGGCGAGAGGCTCGTGCTTAGCAGGTGCTTTTGACAAATGTGTTGGATCTGCTCTCCCTGCAGACCACCGTGAGCAGGACGGGAAACGAAAGCTACCGCCGGGCTCCTGAAGGGCTCTGGTTGTGGGGACCTGCTGCCACACCCCACAGTCAGCTTCCAGCAGGAAGCGGGGTAAGAGCAGAGTCGGGGCTCCGAGGTAGACAGCACCCCCAGCTCAAGAAGCTCATGCTTCCCCGGGATGCTCAAGGTGAGACACAGCTGGGAAGCTCACCATGAACTACAACAGGTGGTTTTTCCTAAAATAATACAAAAAGGTAACATTTTTCTGGTAGTGGAAGAGATGGCCTGCTTCATGGGTTTGCGAGGGTCACTGGAGGTTGATCTTGCCCAGCACAGGGCATGGTGCCCGGTGACACCCGCTGGATGTGGGCACCACCCCATGACTGCAGGGCTGCCTGCTTCCCTCCCTGTCAACAGGACCTGAGACCTGCCCTGCTCACCCCTGCCTCACCCGGGCTCTCTGCGGCCCCCAGGCTCCAGGCCAAGGGGAGTCTGCAGTCTCCACGAGGATGGGACCCCTACCTCTGTCAGTGGGAGCACTGTTCCCTCCCAGGGTGGTATCACACAGGCTCCCTGCTGCCATGGCCAGCTGTGCAGGACACGGTGCTGGGCTTCCTTCCCTTGACCTCATCTGACCCTCTGCGAACGCTCCTGCCCAGCAGCGTGGCTGTGGCCTCCTTCCTGTGCCTTGGGATGCGGTGCTTGCACCTGACCTCTCTGGGCACTGACCGCCAGCTCCCAGCATTGGCTCCTCTGGGTTCTTCCCACCAGGCCCCAGGATTGGCTTTCACAGCCTCTTAGTGGTGCTGTCCTGGGCGCTGGCCCCAGCCCAGGCCCTGCCCTTTCTTGGCCTCTCCATTTCTCCCAGGCCCCAGGTTCAAATCCTAAGGCCCTGGTCTGCTTCCCTGGAGAACAGAGCTCCCCCAAAGCGGTAATGAGGCTGCAAGGGGAGGCGAGAGGATCCAGAGGCCTCGGAAGACAGAGGGGCAGGAGCGCAGCCTGCAGAGGGCAGAGTCGCATGTTCAGTGGCCGCTCAAGGTGAGGTGCGGCCACGAGACAGCCCACGAGACAGCCTTTGCACAGAGCGGTTGAAACAGAGACGGAAATGAAAGAGCAGGGGTCACAGCAAGGCGCAAAGAGTATCTGGCTTCAGACACGGGGTGTCTGCGGGCCCCGGTGTCAGAAGGGTCAACTTCCCAATGTGTCTGTCCGTTCTCCCACCACCCTGTTTGAGGGCGGAAGTCACACGGTCACATGACTTGCGTTAGCCAATGAAGAAGGGGCAGGGAATTTAAGAGCCTTGTGAACCCCGCTGTGTGGCCAGCTGCTCCGGACTTACATGCGAGAGTAGCCTTGACCCCGACAGACCCGGCGCACACAGGAGCGGGGCTAAGGAGAGTCACTGCTGCTACATGAGACGGCAGAAGTGCTGTGGCCGTTTTGCTGGTTGTGTAACCCATGTCAACAGTCAAGGATGCCACAGGCCAAATGGACTAGAGCTCCAGCTGCCAGGCTAGAAAAGGGCCGGAAGCCGCCACCGCCTCCTCCCCTGGGAAGGGGATTGTGGCCCTGTCACCATGCGAGCCCTCCTGCCCCCCAGCACCCCTGGATTTACCTGTGTTGTAGCCCCTTCCCAGCGCCGGCCACGGGCGGTGATTCTTCCACAGGTTCCCGAGGTACCAGTCACTCTGATTCTCCACCAGGCCCAGGACCTGCTGCCCTGTGAAGTGCAGAGAATGCAGTCTTAGAAGAGGCAGCCATGGTAACCGGATCAATACAGGCGACAGCACCCAGGTCTCCATACTAAGTGCCCGGTTCAGACCCCTGTGTAACCTGCATGAGCTTGTTTCAGCCTCACCACTGGGCAGCTGTTTTCATTACCCCCATTCCAGAGACAGACGGCAGCCCGGAGTGTCAACTGCTTTGCCTAAGGTCTCCCAGGGCATCTGGATAAAGCCAGAACCCAAAGCCACAGCTCATCCCACATTCACGCAGTGCTGCACTCCCACCGTGGGGCCCAGCCTCGAGGACTGAAAGGCCCCTGCTCAAGAAGCTCAGTCCCAGCATTTCCCACTGATTGGCTTTCTGAGATTTCTCTCTCACATCAGAGTAGGGGTGACCCTCGCTGGATGAGATGAGCCCCCCGGGGAAGAGCCACCGTGTGACCAAGGCCCGAGATGCCTCTGCCCTCTGGACAGTGTTCACTCTGTGTCCATGGCGTCAGGCCAGCACTCTCATGCCCGTGGCGTGGGCTGGAAGGGCAAAGGGCTCCTCCAGCCACAGAGCAGGGCTGTGACACTGGCCTCGGGCCTTCACATCTCAGGTGAGCCGCGCTGCGGTCTCTGGGCCTTCCGACCACAGCGTCAGACCCCGAGGCCTCCTTTGGGCCACCTAGGCATGCCGCTCATACTGGGGTGTTGCCAGCGGCATTTGCACTGGGAACCGAGACCCCTGCAGGGTCAGGGTTTGCATAGCTCTAGGATGTGAATCCACATCTGCTGGACACCAGGTTCTTTCCACTGTGGACGCATCCTGCTTATGCTGAACCCAACTGTGTGAGGTCGGCATTATAAACCAGTATTTCACAGGCAGGAAAGGGGCTGACGGTTTTACTTGCTAAGGGGCAAAACTACCCGTCACCACCTTCCGCACTGGGGTCTCCTCTGGAGCCAAAGCCCTTCTGCTGCTGGCCAAGTAGAGCAAAAAAGACTTTGGAGCAAATCCGAGCGCAGCGTCAGGGGAGGAAAGCCGGTGGGCTCGGAGCACACGCTGGGTGGCACAGGGCATCCTTGGGTTGGTGACAATCCCCCGAAAGGATGGTGTGCGGAGCTGGTGTAATTTATTTGATCAATTTATCAGGCTCCTATTTAAATCATCACTGCAGCATAAATACATACACTGCGGCCTGGAGAAATACTGCCGCCCACTTTGCTGCTGTCCACGATCCCATCCACAGCTTGCAGAGTCCCTCAGCAAAAGGGGTCACCCGTGTGGGGAGCATGGGAGCCGAGCGAGTCCCCTGCAGCTGGCCTGGAAGTAGGCACACAGCCGTCCTTGACCTGGGCTGCTCTGCTAACTCCATCCAGGTGAGAAGGACTTTCAGGGGCCACCGCACCCGAGACAAAGATTCCAATTCTCTCGCGTTGTGCTGGGCTGCCTTCCTGGTGGTGGTGGCACTGGATCCTTTCACCCTCTTTGAAAGTTCCACAGCTCCTCAGTGAGCTACGTGAGTGCTGTAATTTTAACATCCACTGGTGGACGAAAACACAAGCAGCAGCTACGGAGGCCGCCTGTGGTCTCTGCAGCAGACTCATTGCTACTGCTCCGGGCGGGGTGGGGGGTGCGCAGTTCGCTCGGTCTCTGGGCGGCGCTGCATTCTGTGCATGGGCCTGAGAACTGGCCGGGCTCTCTGCCCAGTGTGCTGCCACCCTACAGACATCTGTGTCCAGGGACAGGGGCCAGAGCAGCTCCAACTCCCGCCGCTGCCGTCCTGCTGTGCAGCCCTGAGTGTGTCCCTCGGCCCCTCTGTGCCTTGACATCAGTGCCACAGCTGCCTGCCTTCTCGTGCTGAGTGACCTCAGGCGTTGGCACCAGGGCAGGGGTGGCGTGGACTCAGCCTCTGCGAGCAGCAGCTCTTCTGAGTGCCTGACCTGGCGGGTTTGGAGAGGACAGAGCCTAGCTGTGCAGCTCTCCTGGGAGGTCTCCACATGGGAATCGGCCTTCTAGAACAAGTTACTGTGGCATCTGCTTCGGAACAGCCAGGGCTTTCCTTCGGAGACGGCGCCCGGCTTCCGCCTAGAAGTCAGCGGACCTCACATCCTCCTGCCCTGGGGACCTTCTGCATCTCTTCCGCGTGTGGGTCTTACCGTGCAGCTTGGTGATGAAACACTCGCTCTGCTCCTCTCTGTCAATTGGCTCGGTGTCCAGGGCATGCATGTGTGTGCGTGTGCGTGTGTTGGACTAAAGTCACACAAAGCTGCCCTGCACCCCAGTACTTCTGAACGTGAATTCTGGCCCTGGTGCTCTCCGGTCCCTAAAGACTTCGTGTATGGGAATTGGGCACAGGTCGCCTTGGGAAAATGATGCCGTGTTCTTTGCTTACTTAAACAACCCTGCTAAAGCTGCCTGGCAGACAGTAGTGTCCAGTCGTGTCTGCTCTCAGGGCCAGAACTCCGGCCTCCTCCTGCGCCCTCTGCTGGGCCCCTGGCTGACAGAGGCTGGGGTGGCTTCTTCCTCAAGGGGGTTTGGTCTGTGTCCACACCACAGTCATGCAGGGTCAGGACAAGCGGAGGCAGCTGGTGAGGGGAGCAACCTGGCACCCGAACCCCAGATCTGAAATGCTCGGAGTGAGGCGTTTTGAGCACCGACACGATGCCGCAAGCGAGAAATGCCGTGCCGCGGTGCTTTGCTCCATGCTTAAAACCCTTAATGGTCTGAGTTGTCAGTGAAGGATCCTCAACTTGTAATTTTTTGAAGCAAAAATTCTCCAACTGACCAAGTAGACTTTTTTCATGCTGGCTTCCAGGAAGCTCAGAGCTCAACCTTAAAAACCACGTAGAATTCAGAATCCTGGATACTTTTCTTTACAGGTTCCTAAAACCCTTCTTCAGATGCGGGAGCCACGGAGTGAAAACAAGAGAGCTGTGAACCAGGGGTCTGGAGAGTGCACTTCTCCCCTGATGTCCGCTGTGGTTGGTTGTAGGTGTCTCTAAAAACTGTCTCCCTTCTCCAGGCTCACAGTGGGCCAGGGTCAGGCTGATTCCTTGCTACTGCTGAAAGGACCTGGAGGTGTTGTCCCTGGTGTCCTTTTCAAGATGGCTCCTACCTCCCTGCAGTCTCCCCGAAGCAACAAAGCTCCCCCTCTGCCCCGGCCCACAGTGGCAGGGCTTACAAAGCTACCGCGATGGAGAGATGCGGCTGCAGCCAGCGAGAGAAGCATCCCCGCCGAGAGCCAGGCCCTGCACAGGCGCTGCGACCACAAGGCTGGCATCGTGCTGTCTCCGTCCTGCTCCTGGGCGTCCCTGGGCTCCGGCTAAGCTCACTGAGACAGACTCTGCTCTGACCTCCTGCTCCTGCGTCATGTTGAGCATACAGCAGAAGCTGCTTAAACTGAATTATATTTAATCAATGCACAGAAGCAGCTGAGGTAATGCAAAGGATCTGATTAGAAGAGTCCAAACTCAGATCTACTACCAAGCCCCCCTCTGTCAAGGCAGAGGGAGGCCCAGCACCCCCAGTGCCACCCCAGTTCGGCCCCATGGAAAAGCGTTCTGGCCCAAGTGCACAACAGAAGCATGGAGCGAAGTGTGCGGCCACTGGCTCGCTAACAGAGGTAGGGACGCCAGCCGCAGTCTCCTGGTTTATATTCCAAGTGTTTCCTTACTCTATGTGTCATTTCCGGGACATCATAAATGCATTAATTACAGATTTGTGTACTTGGTGATCTTAACAGAGAGGTGCATACTGCTAAGATCAAGCCTGAGATAAGTGGGTCTCCAGTGAATATCATCAGGGCATCTGCAGGAGATGTGCAGGTGTCACACCAGGGAAGGCATGTGTGCGGGGAGGATTCCCAGGCAGGCTTCAGTGGGTTTGGAGGAGCAACGCATGATGTCCTACTGCACAGCAGGACAACCATGGCTCACAAGAACAACTGCACATTTCAAAACAGCCACGAGTGAGGATTTTGAATGATCCCAACCCAGAGATAAATGTCAAGGGTGAAGACACAACAATTCTCCTGATTGATTATTATTATTATATATTGTATACTTGGATTGAAATGTCACACTGGGCTGGGGATACAGCTCAGTGGCACAGTATCTGCCTGGCAAGTGTGAGGTCATGAGTTCAATTTCCAGTGCCAAAAAAAAAAATAAAGATATGTCACACTGTATCCCATAAATACACATGAGTGCTATGTGTCAATTAAACACAAGTACATCTTACAAGACCAGGTGCATGAAGGGGTAATGGACTGTGAGAGATCGGGGCCTGGTGCCAACGCTTCCTGTCTCTGCAGGAATTTGGTCACATGGACAGATGGATGCACAGGGCACAGAGGGCCCCCTGCGGCCATGACCTCCTGTGTCTGCACATCCCTGCAGCCACCAGTTGGATCTTGAGCTCTCCAAGGGGGCGGTGGGCTGTTCCCAAGCCTGGCCAGGCCATTTCTTCTCCTCGCTGTAGTTCGGGGCTCTATGTAAGCGTTAGATAAATACACTGACTAAGCATATGGAAAGAGTTGTTCCTCTGGCGGTTCAACTGAAGTCTTAGAGTCAGCAGTGGTGAGCTGCTAAAAACCACCCCTGGATGAGACAGCTAGGAACGGCAGAGAGGGCCTGGCTGGTACCTGTGTTCCTGCACTTGCAGTGAGCAAGCAGCAACCCTGCTCTCAGCAGCTGGCGCGGGACTGGTGAAACGGGTGTGGGTAACAGAGGAAGCAGGACGCACGGCTCCAGTCAGGGCTCCGAAGCTGCCGCCTGAAACCTCCATGTGCAACCGCCCTCCTGCCACATGCGATGATGCGTCTGCATTCTCTCCCCACGCCACGGCCAGCGGTGTGACAGTCTGAATGATGCACATAGCATTACAGTCATGCAACAGGAAACCTGAGACCCAGACCCGTGCTTCTCTGAGGGAGGATATTCCCACCTGATAATCCCGACAGCCTCCGAGTGTGGATACTCTCGGATTCTGCAGCTGTCACGTACACGGATT